AAAAGGCCATTCAAAAGTGTTGGGGACTTTTGCATGATATTCTAATTTTTTTGAGTTTCACCTGTAGAGCAGCACGGTGTCAGATGATTTTCTGCCCAGAACGCTGCAATAAAATTCATCATCTCTTGGGTGGATTGCAGCGTGAATAGGACACATAGAAAACCATTGTTTTCTGTGTGTCCTAGGGCTTACCTGCATTCATCCTGTACAGTAAAAGTAAGGGCACTGCCCCATGTGTGAACAGGGCCTAAAAGAAGTCAGGGGAGTACAAGAAAGGTAAGTATACGTGTCCGTGGAGGACTGTGTAAATCAAGCTGTTAATGCACCCTCTGCCAGATGATTCACCAATGAGCTTCTCAGGAACCAATAAGGGTACTTTCATTGGTTTATGAGACAGTGAAGAATTTAGTAGCAAGCTTCTAAGCTATTGCTACAGTTTAAAATGCATCTTGGAGTTTTTGGAGGCATATACAAAAGAATCTGGTGTTTAACAGAAGTACTTTTGGGCACCTTAGAATTCCATTACTTAGGCAATGGTTAAAAATGTAAAAACACACACACACACGCACACTTTGATCATGTTTCAGTCTCCTTTAAATTCTGAGCACTCCAATAGAGTAGAGATTCTATTCTCAATCACAAACTGATCTAAATTTTAAGCCAGTTATGCACTTGCAAACATATCTAAACACTTTCTTAGCCTACTGACCAAAACTTAAATTGTTAGATGGCATGTAAACTAAACTATGTTTGCACTACTGCAATCCAACAAGTTTCAGTGTAACTATGTAGTATGACTTAGCTGCGTTTTGGATGTGGTGTGCATATTCTATGGGGCCAAAATTGCATTGTAAATCGCACCAAAGTAACAGGTCCCTCTTCCAAAATTGTGCTGTGTGGCATTGATGTGAATGGACACCACTGAAAACAATGTGTTTTACATTGTCATTTGATTCTGTGCAATTCAAATGCCATCTGAAATCACTAGTGTGAACCAGCCCTAAAATGATTTTGCAAAAAAAAAAAAAAAAGAAAAGAAAATTGTACTCTACAAATGTACACCTAGTATCTTGTTAGAGTGGCTGTTTTATCACAGGAGGGCCTTCCCTCCTCCTGCTCTGGAAGTGAAGCTAGTTTCAGTATCTCACACATTTCGAGATTGTGAGGCTGGGGACCAGATATGCCAGGTAACATCCAGATTTACTGGATACCTTTAAATAACCACACCCTGGCTTTATCACTATGGTGCTGGAATCAGACATATAAAAATATAAATATTTGCTAAAAATCTCCAATAAGGATTATGGCATTTTGATAGTCTGTTAAAATAGTTCAAGGTTTATTTTATAAGCATCCACGTAGCAGAAAAGTTTACCATGCCATTTTTTTTTACCACTTATAATTTCATTAAAGTGGTTTTTAAAGCCTCAAAGTATTTTATCTTCATGCATTCCATGCAGCCACCCAAGCCCATCTAATACTTACTTGGGCCCAATCACGATCCAGTGATGTGTACAAGAGCCTTGGCTCACTGGGTACTCTCCCTCATTTACTGAGAGAGCAGCAGGAGCCAATAAGGAGAGAGAGGGGGCAGGGCCAAGCCACAGCTCTGTGTGTGAATGGACACGCAGAGCAGCGTCTCGGGAGCATGCCTGCTGTGGGGAGGGAGAAGTCGGGAACGCCAGCGTAGGACTCGAGGAAACGACGATCGGGGGGGATCTGCTCTGTGCAAATCCACAGCACAGAGCAAGTATGTATAAACATGCTTGTTGCTTTTTTTTTATTTTTTTAAATTGACTTTAATATCACTTTGATGCCAGATAGTATAGGTTTTGGCCCACGGCCCTATACATGGAAGCCATAGTGTTATTTATCTGCCCATCCTCTCCCCTAGTCCAATAACTCTATTAAAAATTACTTGGCGTATTTTTAATATAAATAAAAACAGTATGAAATTGCCCATTTTGTTCCAAAGTCAGTCAGTCATTCTAGACCAAGGAAGTGTTCATAATACAGCCATTATGCAGGATGCATATTCCCATAAACGTTAAGAGTTGGAGAGATCCCTGAGGCCAAGCCATCCATGTCACTAAAAGAATGGCATTTGGTATTTGTTTTCTCAATACGTTCTGTTAGCAGTAGAAAAACATGCTCCTCAGCAAGGCTTCATTTCAGGAATACATGAGGAATCCTAAATAAATATGTCCACCTCTGCATTCAAGGGTTCCGAACGTGAAGAGTATGCTTTACTCACAATATAGAAAAGGATCTTAAAGTTTATGGCTGCAAGAAAAAAGACTTCCTGTTAAAACTTCGATCTGCATATGACTTCCCACTTAGGGCCCATTGACATGCACAAAGTTTTTTGTGCTGCCATTCTGTTGCCCGTAACACGTTTAAAGGCCAAAAACCACACTGGTCTCATCTTTTTCCAGCTCCACTGCAAGCCAATGCACGTTTGTGTGTTCACTTCTTGCTTGGGTGCTGATCACTGAAAATGAATGACAAATCACCACAATGCACATTGTGGTATTGTGCCAGACTTGTTAATGTGCAAATGGATGCGTGGCAGTGAATGGTCCTTAGGCATCTACTACTGATCATTACTAACCTGGTATAGTCTACTCTACAGCATCTAGGTTGAGCGGTTACCCTTATCCCCTGTTCAAACTAATATGTTTTCTCTTGTGCTTGCTATTACAAAGACATACAGGACAATGGCATTCACATCAATGCAGCCCAGCATTTTTTTTTTTTGTAAAGTGCAGGCACTTCTTTTGGTGCAGTGTAGCATTTTTTTTTTGCCCCATAAACATATGTACACACATTTTTGAGTTTTGTGTATAAAACCTTACAATAAAAATAAAACACATTGAGGCTTTACGCACACTGGCTTAAAAATGCTACTCCTAGAGGATTTTAACATTTTCCCTGTAGAAACAACGAATGCTAACCTATGTGTCCATGGAAACAAAAAAAAAAAAAAAAGCCCCAATTAGCATTTTTTCCCTGCCAAGAGCACTGGTGTTTAAGCCAGTGTGCATGGTGCTGAAGCATCAAAAACATGTACAAAAACTTACTGGAAAAATGCATAATCATTACTAGTGTGAACCAAGGATTACCGTCAACTACAGGAAATTATAAAAACAGTTTGGCACAAAAAAAAAAAAACAAAAAAAAAAAAAAAAAAAAAAAAAAAAAAAAAAAGCAGCTAAAAAAGTATGAGAATACTAAACTGACATTAAAAATCTGCACCACTGATATTTTATCAAAATTGTTGCAATTGATTTCTCAAAAAAACAAAAGAAAATAAACCCCCCATAAAAAAACCAAAACAAAAACCTCAAACAAGGTTAAACAATCTGTCACATTTCCACATTATTCAAGGCCATTATACAGTACATTTTTATTTTGCTACATGATCCGATATCAAGAAGGCCGTACTTTCGAAATCTTAACACATTTATTTGTCCTGTGATGAGCTACTGTATGGGGCCTTACCCAAGTGAGTATACGGAAAATGCTGGAGGTCATACAGACATCAGCTAGAGAGAAACCTTTACACAAAAGGCTTTGTGGACATGCTAAATTGGACAGTGGGGCGCAGGTTTCTAGCTAATGTTAGAGCCAGGCAGCTCAGTATGTCTGACCACACAGTGAAGAGCTTGTTTTGTAATGCAAACTGCACTGTCCTGACACTTGAGTCCATTTTTACTTCTATTGTGCATTATCCTCCCCACTGGTTGCACACCATCTGCCAGTCACAGCATAGGTGTTGCATGCATCTTACATTTAATACCTGTGTGTATTTACATATGCAACCTTCTACCCAAAACGTATTGGCTGAAAATCTCTGGTACTGAAGGTAGCCATTCCAGCTGCACATTACATACAGTATGATGCAGCAAAACACACTTCACCATGATAAACATGCTTCTTTTTTAGAAGGGAATCCAATATATAACACTATATTTACCTCATAAAATGGATTTATAAAATAGCAAATTCTCTATACATATTTTAGGAACTGGATAAAAAACAAATACCACCCACCCATCCCCCCACAAAGTAAAATACCCACAACACACACCACAATTGCACAGATGACTATAATATGTACTCATTTTAAAATACTAAAAGTAAAAACTTTGATGATTTCCCTTTAATATATCCTGACCTGAGCCAAAAAATTAAAGCCCCATTCATGCCGTAGCTTTCAGAAACGTAAGCGGTTTTAACAAGTGTTAGTGACATGATTAGGTTCCTGGTGTGAAGAGGCTTTCCAGTTAAAAAAAAAAAAAAAAAAAAAAAAAAAAAAAAAAAAAAAAAAAAAAAGGCATGCAAATGGACTAAGATGCCCAAAAATGTATGTTTTTAAGCACAAAAGTGCAAAGAAGGCCAAAGGATCGGAGGGGGCAAAGTAGACCTGTATTCTCGGTTTAGACTCAGATAAAACTAGGGGGGGAGAGAAAGGGAAGGGCATCATGCAGATACCATCTTAAATATATGGTTAAAAAAAAAAAAACCCCCAGCTGTGTGAATAAAAACATCACAGTAACCTGTGCCGGATGTTCAGACCAGATGGTTAAATTAAAAAGATTAAAAAGATGAATTCCAGGCATTGGAATCCTGCCTTGAGATGGGAAGGAGACAGGCAGGAAAGTATAAATCTCCCCCAAATCTCTACATCTGTTTTGACCCCACAAACCACCAAACCAACACAAAAAAAAAAAAACAACGTTGGGGGGGGGGGGGGGGGGGGCCCATGGAAGAAAAAAAAAAAAACAAAAAAAACCCCAAAAAACCCTTATTCTCCATACATATAGCAATGACCCACAGACGACCAGCAAACGTGTTCTGTTGAGACTCTTCCAAGCCTGGAGGTAAGGAAAAGGAATCCTTTCATCACTTCTGTCTGGTGGGTATCCACAGATCAGATCTTCTGCTCTCTCGCATGCTCAGCCTCTCCTGCTTCACCACTGGTATCTCCTGGAGTACCATTATCCATCCAGTGGTTTTCCAAGGTAGACCAAAGTCACTTCTGTGTTTCCGTACACAGCCGACACTGCTGGGTATAGACAGGTCTTTGGAAGTCCCCTGAAAGCAACCCCTAAAAACTCATATCCACGCTCAAAGGCCAAGGTCTTGTCTTCCATATCCAAAATTACTCGGATCCGCTCACCTATCTGTGAAAGAACAATAATCAGATCAATCTGCAATTGAACACCATTACCAAAACAATGACACCAGCCAGAACAGTGGTGAGCAGCATCCCACAATCAAAACTTAAAAAAAAAACACACAAAAAAAAAAAAAACACCACAACACACACACTAAAGTGTATTTCATGTCAAGCCAAAAACAGTTTTTTTCCTAACTAGGTATTGTTTGGGGGGGTGGGTGTTGTTGGGGATAAGAACCCGTGTCAGGTTTTTTACTGCTGCCCACCCGTGTTGGTCGGTCATACACCAAGTATCAGGGGCAGAACTAGAAAGAATAATCTTTAGGCCAAGTTCCCTGAAGGAGAGATAGTTACTAAGTTAGCATGTTACTGGATTAAAGTGCAGGTTACCCCAAATTTTATGTTTCTGATATGTGTCTGCTGTGTCAAGTACTTACATTAAAAAGTATCCTGTAATCTTTGCATTGCTTCCTTTTTGTGAAACTTTGGGTGATCCTTCCAGTCCCTATGTTTTCCTATTTCATACTGACGACACCAGGAAGTGGAAGCACCATCCCAGTACGGTTACTTTTCTTCTTTGCATTCTACATGGGAGCACAGCCTGCATGTACTCCAGTGGTCAGACTTCTGACATGCCCCCTGCACAACCTTTCACTGGGAAGATTAGTGTACTACTGTTACTGAGCCTCCTGCAGGCATGCCCCCTGCAGTCTTGACTCCCCAAGTCCCTATATATTTACACATAGACAAGGTAAAGGTTCATATACTGTAAAATAGAATTCCGGGATATATTTAACCAATCTTAAAACTGCCCCCCCAAACACCTAACCTGTTTAAGAACCACTGCACAGAGCAGGCAAGTATAACATGTTTGTTATTTAAAAAATAAATAATTGCCTTTAACCACCTCCTGCCCACCATATAGTAATATGATGGGCGCAAGGTGGTTCTCTCATTCTGAGAGGACGTCATATGACGTCCTCCCATTCTTGCTGCGCATGCGCGGCTCAGAGAGCGTGCAGCGCGGCGATCGGCGGTGCGCTGTGTCCCTCGGACACAGCAGATCATCGATCACGGAAAGAGCCGAAGATGTCGGCTCGGTCATGTGTCCAATCACAGCTGATCACATGTAAACAGGGAAATGCCGGTTATCGGCATTTCTCTCCTCTCGAGCTCTCACGCTGACAGCTCAAGAGGAGAGGAGAGCCGGTAATCGGCTTTCCGCAGAGGGGACATGTACACTGATCATCAGGGCACAGATGATCAGTGTGCCCTGATGATCAGTGTAGCCCCAGCAGTGCCACCTGTCAGTGTCCATCAGTGCCTCGTGCCACATATCAGTGCCTACCAGTGCCACATATCAGTGCCCATCTGAGCTGCCAGCCAGTGCCGCCTAACAGTGCCAGTCAGTGCCATGTATCAGTGCTGCCTGTCAATGCCCAATGCCTCCTTATCAGTGCCACCTATCAGTGTAGCCTCATTAGCGCACATCAGTGGAGAAAAAAAATTACTTACATTTAAAAATTTTATAACAAAAACTAAGATAAAAACATTTTTTTTTTCAAAATTCAGTGGTTTTTGGTTTGAGAAAAAATAAAAAAACCTACAGGTGATTAAATACCACGAAAATAAAGCTCTGTCACAAAAAAAAAAAAAAAAAAAAAAAAGATAAAAATTTCATATGGGTACAGTGTTTGACCACGCAATTGTCATTCAAATTGCAACAGCGCTGAAAGCTGGAAATTGGCCTGGGCAGGAAGGGGGTATAAGTGCCCTGTAGGCTAGCGGTTAATATCACATGAAGCCATTGCCAGCTGACACATACGGGCAGATCACATGACTGGACCAGAGCAGCCTGAAAATAGGCAAGTATTTACATTTTTTTTCTTACAGGTTAGTACAGCGGTTAGAAGGGGGAGGAGGGAGCAGTTTTAAGATTAGTTAGGTATAAAACTCAGAATACTACAACTTCTGAGCCCAAAATTGCCCTCCTCTAGTTGTTTACAAGATCAATCCTGGTCAAAAACAGGACTACAATGCAAAGGAAAACAACTGTGATCTAAAACTACTGAGTGATTAAATACAAAGAGCTTTTCCCACTCACCTGGTATTTGGGTGCATTATTGCACTGTGGAAAGCTTCCATTGACTTCTCCATTATGCAACAGATTATTATCGACTAGGTTCCATCCCCAACTCTGGTCATCGCTTCCAAGGAGTGCCACATATCCCTGGCACTGCATAGGAGCCCGTTTTGTAGCAATGCCAATAACTGCTACAGTACCAAGTGGCCCTTCCCACCATACCTCCCAGGCATGGCGCCCTTCACTGAAGCCAATTTTGGTTCGTGCTCCGTCCGTACTCTGAGCAATTGGATTTCGATGAAGTGTGAAGCCATTTTTTTTAATATAGACATTTCTTGAGCAGTCATTGGAGCTGAACCCATGCTGGTAAGCGCGAACCTATATTCAAGACAAAAAAAAAGACAAAAACAAACAGTTGTGTGCAGGCTCAGTTCAGAGACAGACATACATACATACATACATAGATCAAGTACAAAGATAAAAGCACCGATTGCCTGCCTAACGAATCCAGACTAGTTATACACAGTTACATTAGGCACCTACAGCAGTCTTCTCTGTGCATTGGTTACCTGTGGACCAAATCAGCTCATACCTTCAAAAAGGATACGTTCACCTTTGCAAATAAATAGATAAATGCACATATTTTGCAGGTTAAAAAAATAACTAGAGGCAACTCATTTCTTATAAGCATTCCATGACAGCCCTTTAAGACATAGAGCTCCTCCCTCCAGGACAGGAAACACATAAGCCCAATATTAAAATACATTAAAATGTGACCTCCAGGCCTCCCTCTTCAGTATTCCCAAGAACCACAGGAAGGCAATAAAACACATAACCATTTATGCATAAACTTATATTACTATAATAGGAAAAGAATCAAGGTGGGAAACCCCAGCTGGCCTGGAAGACCTATAGAAAATGAGTTACTGGTAAGTCTAACTCTGGTTCTCTCAAGAACGTCTTCCAGGACAGCCCTTGAGACGATAATCAAGAACTTACCCATTAGAGTGGGGCTACTACCTAGAGGACGTTGCACCTGATCCTCACTAGAAAGCAGATCCAGGCGATAATGTTTCACAAAGGTAGAGTAGCTGGACCAAGTGGCCACTTTACAAATCTGTTCTGGCGAGGAACCAGCTCTCTCTGCCCAAGACGTTGACAAAGATCTGGCTGAGTACGCATTAACACATTATACGATTCTGTGATAGCCATCCTAATCCATCTTGCTGTGGTGGACTTGGATGCACTGCAACCCTTTGCGCTCCTGAAAAAAGTATAAATAGAGAATATGATTTCCCGAATTCTCTGGAAATACTTAGGTAGGTCAAAAGGCTTCTTCTAGCATAAAAAAAACAAAAAAAAAAAACCAAACTTAATATCTTTCCTCCTAGTTTGCGGGAGCAGAACAGGTCAGCAAAATTATATCTTGGGACCTATGAAAGGAGGAGGAAACTTTGGGAAGAAACCCAAGATCCGTTTTGAGAACAATCCTATCTTCAAAAACTGACAAAAATGGTTCCCTAATGAAAAGGGCCTGCAATTCACTAACCCTACAGGCGGATGTGATCGCTACCAGAAGTTAAAAAAAACTTTATTGAAGACTTCTCCAGAGGTTCAAAAGAGACAAAGATCAAGGTTTTTAAGACTAAAGACAGATCCCAAGCTGAACAGGCATTGACCACCGCTGTGAAAAGAGATTCACAGAAAAGCGGCTACATAATGAACAGAACGTGACACTCAGGAAATAATTTCCCTTATAGATAGATAGATAGATACGTCACTTCCGGTCATGCGCACTAGGTGGAACGCACGCTGACCCATAAGGAGGAAGCCATCTTCACAAGCCATGAGGCAAGCTTAAGCAGCACAAGCGCCGAGAAGGGGCTGGAACCCGCGGTATATCGGCGGATGTCAGCGGTGGTTCCTTGGCCCTGTATGGCAGTACCTATGAAGGACTTCTCTTTCATTCCTGTTATCCATAGCACAGGTGGTGAGTGGATCGTTACAGGACATTAGATATATGGTCCTCTGTGATCTATATGACCTATATATCTTCCATAGAGTGTTAGCCATTTTCCCTGCTGCACACACATTTAGACCGGTTCTGGTGTCATTTTAAATGGTTTTAGGTCTGTGTGTATTGTCTCATACTGAGGTGATGGTAAACCAGGGCGAATGCCCATATGTCATATCTATATATGTGTAATAAAGCATAATTTTTGGAAATTATTTCCTGAGTGTCACGTTCTGTTCATTATGTAGCCGCTTTTCTGTGAATCTCTTTTCACAACCCTCCTTTTTTGTATGCCTCTTTTGGCTACTGAATGGAGACCATACATTGGGTGACACGTTAATTTATCTAATAACCTCTTAAATAACTATCTTAGTATATTGACCACCGCTGGCCTGGACTTGGAGAGGGCCCTTAAAAAAAATCTGCTACAAAAAAGGATCTTGCTGGCGAGAGACCTGAAGAAAAAAAAAAAAAACAAAAAAAAAAAAAAAACAAAAAAAAAAAAAAAAAAAAAAAAAAAAAAAAAAAAAAAACACACCACTAAGAGCCGAGGCTTGCACATTTATTGTACTAACTGAAAGACCTTGCTCAGCCCTGTCCTGCTAAAAAAAAACCAAGACTGCTGGGATATCCAGAGGACCCCGACCCTGATTTGACAATGAGGAGTTGAATCCTTTCCATACCTTAGAAAAAATACAGTATCTCACAGAAGTGAGTACACCCCTGGCATTTTTGTAAATATTTTTATTATATCTTTTCATGTGACAACACTGAAGAAAGGACACTTTGCTACAAAGTAGTGAGTGTACAGCTTGTATAACAGTGTAAATTTGCTGTCCCCTCAAAATAACTCAACACAGCCATTAATGTCTAAACCACTGGCAACAAAAGTGAGTACACCCCCAAGTGAAAATTTTCAAATTGGGCCCAAAAAAAAAAATCAATATTGTATGGCCACCATTATTTTCCAGCACTGCCTTAACCCTCCTGGGCATGGAGTTCGCCAGAGCTTCACAGGTTGCCACTGGAGTCCTCTTCCACTCCTCCATGACGACATCACGGAGCTGGTGGATGTTAGAGACCTTGCGCTCCTCCACCTTCCATTTGAGGATGCCCCACAGATGCTCAATAGGGTTTAGGGCTGGAGACAGGCTTGGCCAGTCCATCACCTTTACCCTCAGCTTTATATACATCACATATATATATATATATATATATATATAAATACACACACACTCCTAGATTGTAAGCTCCAAGGAGCAGGGCCCTCCTATCCCTCTTGTATTGAAGCTGTATTGTCTCCCGTTATATTGCAAAGCGCTGAGCAAACTATTGGCGCTATATAAATCCTGTATAATATATATACACATACATAAATACGTGTTCAAAAATAGCAGTCTTGAAAAAAGTGCATAAAGCTCAAAATCCTTCTAATAGCTTTTATTCCATACACACAAATGCATTGGGAACCCTACACATTCTATTCCAAATCAAAACATGAAGAAAAATAGATCAAATTTGTGTTGTTCCTCTAAAAATTGAAGAAAAGTGAATATTAGACTGTTGAAAAAAATAGCAGTGTTTGTATTCTTCTTTACAAACTCAAACATTCACTATATAAACTGAAAAATGTTTGAAGATTTTGCTTTCCTTTGAATCACTTAATATTTAGTTGTATAATCACTGTTTCTGAGAACTGCTGTACATCTGTGTTGCATGGAGTCAACCAACTTCTAGCACCTGTGAACAGGTATTCCAGCCTGGGATGATTGGACTACATTCCACAGTTCTTCTCCATCTCTTGGTTTTGCCTCAGAAACTGCATTTTTGATATCACCCCACAAGTTTTCTATTGGATTAAGATCCGGAGATTGGGCTGGCCACTCCATAACGTCAATCTTGTTGGTCTAGAACCAAGATGTTGCACGTTTACTGGTGTGTTTGGGGTCAATGTCTTGTTGGAACACCCATTTCAAGGGCATTTCCTCTTCAGCATGACCTCTTCAAGTATTCAAATTGATCCATGATCCCTGGTATGCGATAAATAGGCCCAACACCGTAGTATGAGAAACATCCCCATATCATGATGCTTGCGCAACCATGCTTCACAGTGTACTGTGGCTTGAATTCAGTGTTTGGGGGTCGTCCGTTCTTTTTGGGTCTAGTGGCTGGAGACAGTTTGTCAATCTTACCTTACGTTGCGCCATTTCTCTTTAAGCCAGTCAATGTGCTCTTTGGCAAATTGTAACCTCTTCAGCACATATCTTTTTTTCACCAGTGGGACTTTGCGGGGGCTTCTTGCAGATAGCTTGGCTTCACATGGCGTCTTCTAATTGTAACAGTACTCACAGGTAACTTTAGACCTTCTTTTGATCTTCCTGGAGCGGATTGTTGGCTATTCTTCTATCCTTGCCATTTTGGCTATTCTTCTATCCATTCAAATGGTAGTTTTTCGCTTCCTTCCACGTCTTTCAGGTTTTGGTTGCCATTTTAAAGCATTTGCGATCATTTTAGCTGAGCAGCCTATCATTTTCTGCACTTCTTTATTTATATATGTTTTTTCCTCTCCAATAAACTTTTTAATCAAGGTACGCTATTCTTCTGAACAATGTCTGGAACGACACATTTTCCTTAGAATTTGAGAGAAATGCACTCTAACCAGCATGTACAACATTTTCTGCCTTCCTTCCTGAAATAAGGGCAATAATTGCCACCTGTTTTTCAAAGAATGAATGACCTCACTAATAGAACTCCACACTATTATTTTGAACATGCCCCTTTCAATTAGTGATTCAATTACACAGAATCAGCAGCATGCGTGTCATGACTGTTCAGTCTATTGGATTTCTATTAGTCTACTACACCTGCTAGTAAATTATTTGCCATTTAGAGAAAAATTGATAAGGTTAGTGATGTCTGACTGCTATTATTTTGAACACAACTGTGTGTGTGTATATATATATATATATATATATATATATATATATATATATATATATATATATATATATATATATATATATAAACTCTCCACTGTGGCAAAGACCAAAGAGCTGTCCAAGGATGTCAGGGACAAGATTGTAGACCTACACAAGGCTGGACTGGGCTACAAAACTAATCACCAAGCAGCTTGGGGAGAAGGTGACAACAGTCGGTGCAATCATTCGCAGATGGAAGAAACACAAAACAACTGTCAGTCTCCCTAGGTCTGGTGCACCATGCAAGGTCTCACCTCATGGAGTGTCAATGATCATGAGAACAGTGAGGAAACATCCCAGAACTACACATGAGGATCTTGTCAATGATCTCCAGGCAGCTGGGACCACAGTCACCAAGAAAACAATTGGTAACACTACGCCTACAA